CCCCCCCTCACTCGTTCATAGAAGAAAGTCCATGTTTTGTATTTAGACTGTGTACTGAGCAAGTGGCGGCGTGAAATGACCTATTCCCAATTGATAGAAAAATGTTTAATGACAACATACCCTTCCCTTTCCGCAAACTCCTCGGCGGAAATGGACGCCGATGTTCGACCTTCCAAGTGACCGTCACGCCATCACGAGAATAATAAGATTTAACGGGCCCTTCCCCCCTCTATCCCCTAAAAGCGCTTTTAGCTTGTAGAAGTACTTTACTTCATTTACTTCTCTTTACAAATGAGTAGTCTTGCCTTGATGTAGCTTCTGCAGATGTTTCCTCTAATACTAACGTGTATAACTATTTGAACGTCTAACCTTTTCGTGAAGAATCCGTGAACAGATTCCTCTTCAAAAAGAAGTCACTGCGCTGTGAAAATAATGACAGTACTTGCCGCCAATTTTTTTCCGGCTGTTCCCAAGTTATGCGCCATACGTGCAATTTTCTAAATCTGTTACCAAATGTCGAGTAAATTCCTTCAAAGCAATGTTTTACATATACACTGTGAAAAATACTCGTGTCGCGGGAAAATTTTCCATAGTAAAAGTCGTAAAATTACGATTTGAAATCGTAAATTTACAAACAATTCCTATCGACTTGGGATTGACCGACGAGCAAGAATGGGCTGTCGTAAATCCACGACATATTTTGTAAATCAAAATTACAACAAATGTCGTAAATTTACGAGGATATTTCTCACAGTGTATACTTTGCAAATTTGTAGGCTACGAAACATTACTTTGCAATTACAGAGAGATACTTCATAATTGCGACGCTATAGCTTTTTATTACGAAGTAGTCTCTTCTCAGCTCTATCAAGACTTCGAAAGCTTTTAACAGCGAAGTCCGTTATGGCCAAAATTTGTTCCATAACTCAGTGTGCTTGTTGTTTTTGTTTGGATACCTTGCGTCAACCTTGTCAATTTGTTCTTTCTTAACAGTTCCGTGCCATATCTGCACCATTTTTCTTTGTCAACTTCGCTGACTTTTGGATGGCGGACCAGCTGAACAGTCTAGTGCCGGCTCTCATTGACTTTCAATACACCATCTGTTTTTACATCACTAATAACAGCCTTACCATGGCCTCAGAGGGTTAGTCTAAATGTAACTAATAAGACAAGTAATCATTACATTTATACATAAGACTTGTGTTCTAACTTCCTCCAGACGCCAAGCAGTGCGTGGAGCGTGCATGGTTCCGACCCGTTATGGCCGTTTTCCCAGCCTGGCTTCGCTTCGCTCAGTGCCTGAGGCGCTACCGAGACACGCGGGAAGCAAACCCGCATCTCGCGAATGCAGTCAAGTATTTTACCGTGTTCGTCGTTATATTCTTCACCTCACTCGCCACGCACTACGAGGGTGAGTTTGAGCCCTTGGGTATCATGAACATTTGGTTTTTGGCAATTGATCTAACTAATTTCGTGTTTATTTTTCAGATTATTATGAACACCAGTACCTTAACCCGTACTTCTATTTATGGATACTCTCGAGTATCGGTAGCTCCATGTTTGCCTACATCTGGGATATTAGACTAGATTGGGGTTTGTTTGACAAGAATGCCGGCAACAACAAATTCCTTCGCGAGGAAATTGTTTACTCCTCTGTGGTACGTAAATCCCAAAGTGCGACCGCAATATTCGCGCTGATACTGTGCTGTATTGTTATTTCTTCTGTTCAGTGGTACTACTACTTCGGGATAGTCGAGGACCTGTTGCTACGGTTCGGATGGGTGTTTTCACTCTCCCTATCCGAGCTGGGTTACGTGCATGGCGAGCTTATGGTCACCATCCTGTCTCCCCTCGAGGTGTTTCGGTGAGCGTTGTATTGCATGGTATTATGGGATTATGCATGTGCCTCTCTCGTCTTTTTGGACACACTGGTGGGTTGAGTCGCGTGAGGCAAGTCGCCTGAGGGGTCTCCCACTTCCAAAATAAGTGTACAACGAGTTGGCGCGAGTTAAGGCGCGAGATGGAATCTATTTTTTTGAAAGTTTTGTCCATTTTCCCGGATATTTATCACGAATTTTCGCAAACTTTCGCGAGCTTTGTGAATTTTGCTAGTTTGACGCGAGTTGGGCGTCGGCGAAAGTACAACGAGTTGGCTAGTGGAGGACCCCTCGAAGTCGCCTCACGGCGAGGCACCTCAGCCGAGGCAGCTCAGCTCGCCTCACGAGATTACCACTCGGCATTTCGACACAGGCGGTTCGTCTGGAACTTCTTTCGGCTCGAGAATGAGCACCTGAACAACTGCGGCAAGTTCCGCGCCGTGCGCGACATCTCGGTTGCGCCAATGGAGACCTCAGACCAGGGTCTGATCCTGCGCATGATGGACGACGAGGACGGCGTGCTCAACAGGAACAAGCGCAAGGCGAACACGGGCGCGAGCACGAGGCGCCGCTTGCAGCACCGCAGCATGCTGGAGGACGAGTCAACGGACACCGAACAGGGACTGCTCCGCTGACACACGCTCACACCTCGACTCAGGGCGGCCTTCCCGCTGCGAGTCATGGTGTGACCTTGCTGCGCACAAGGAATTCAATTGGGTGGCCACCCACAGACTGTCAATTCTTATGAACAAACTGTCATATTTGCAAAGTAAGCACAATACTGCGGTAGATTTTACTGCCTGGAAAAGTATCGCCTTCTCCCCTTTTGGGTCTTTTTTTTTAAATATCTGCCGTTTTGTTCATTCGCGTTAATATAACACAGGTCAGCCAGACTTGCCTATAGACCTAGTGTGAGAGTTGTATGCCTGGGATTTCGCGTTCAAAGCAGGGCTCACTTGTACGCGGGTACACTGAGTATCCGCGTGCCCGGGTAGGAAGCGGATCAATACCCGGAGGAGCCGTGGGATTTCGGCAATACCTGTGAGACGCATTGCAGCCTTGGTTATAACCCAGCGGTTCCCAAACTAGGGGTCGCGACCCCAGATGGGGTCGCGGGGAAAAATTTTGGGGTCGCGGTGAGGTGCCTGGGGTCGCCTGGGGTCGCAGCCTCGCTCAGCTAAACCCCTCCTGTTTGAAACTTCTTGGGTCAAAAACGGAAATACCACCGGT